AAATTTGAAGAAAAAACGAAATTCATCTACAAAGAAATTGAAACACCTTGAGTTCAACAGAAACAACAACAACAACGGCAGCAAATAATCGTATGAAGAGAAAACAACTCACAGAAAATTTTCAATTGTTGCCCGTCGCCGCCCACCGGGTTGAGGAGAAGGTCAGCTACCACCTCAGCTGCCCTTGCCCCCCACTTTTCACCTCGTTTTCCCACAACGCATGACAGTCACAGATTGTGTGAAAATCTGGGAGATTTGTTGCGTTGACGTTTCACTATAATTTACCTAGTTTGTGTTGTGTCGCTGCCTTCTGCTCCCTGCCCCTTGACAATCTGCCTCCCTGCCCGCTGTCTGTTGCTCCAGCTACTCAGCCACAACACAAAATGCATAATTTAGTCGAATTTTAGTTAATTAAATTTAATTAAATGATTTGTGGGCGAATGTGTAGCTCAATTAGCTATTGTATCTGGCAGATACTATTTTATTTTTGTTGTTTTCTGAGGCACAGCAAATCAATTTTTACACACACACACATACACACACGCGTAGCTGGGCAGGCATTTTTATGCGGTTTTAAAAGCATTTTCCATAAATAAAAATTATGAAAAGCGAAAAGCAAAACCAACAGACGAATTAGTAAAGATTTTCACATGAAAAGCGGCGCGTAAATTAAGCGCAGAGAAAAGAAAAAAAAAGAGACGGAAAACAGCAAGAGGAAGCAGCACATGTAGAGAAAGAAGCAGAGGCAGATATATGCGTGTACGAAATGAAAATTGTTTTATGTTGCGCCGTGCGCCACGACAGAATTTTCCACATAAATTACAAGAGCAAACGCTAAGCAAAGGCAGCGGGAGAGAGAAATGGTGAGGGAGAGAGGGAGAGGGGCATTAGAGAAAGGGATAAAGTCTGTTGTCAGAAGTGATCAACGCTTGCCTCAGGCCTGTCTATATAGAGGGACTCACATGCTGGACGCTGCCTCAGCCTCTGCTGCCTCCTCTTCTTCTTCTTCTTCCTCTTCTTCTGTGCACGTCAAGTGAACTGACATCAAAATGACGAAAACGCAAATCAACAGCAAACAGCAAACAACAAATAGAACAAAAAAAAAACAAACACAGAAAAAGGAAAGAAAATTTTTGTTGAAAAGATGGATGGATTTATGGCTGGGCATGGGTCGGTTGCTGGGTGGGTGGGTTGGGCTTGTCTGCGGCCTGGCGAGACCATCTCTGCATACACAAATTTTTTTTGTATACCCATTGAAAATGTGTAAAAAGGGCATGATGTTTGTGTGTAAATGTATATAAGAGGCAGTGGGAAGCATTTCCGGGTGCTATAACATATATTCTTGATCAGTATCAATAGTCGAGTCGATCTAGCCATGTCCGTCTATTGGTCCATTCGTCCGTTCGTATGTACGATTGCATCGTTCTCAGGACCTATAAGAGCTAGAATCCTGAACGTATGTCTTCCTAGTGGCCGGGCAGTACCAGTTTGTTTCTAATGATCGACAACTTGCTCCGTTTTCAAGCAATCGATAAATAACGATATCGACATACCGTATTTTGAGCTAATCTCCTTGGTCAAGTATCTTCCATTTTAAAGCTATCGAGAGATGAGGAATTTTAACTTTGTGGTTTTTTAATTGATTTGTATTGAAGTTAAGGCAAAGGTGTTGATAGAAGAGGGTTCAGGGTATTTCTTAGTCGTGCACTCCCGACTTGTTTTTCTTTCTACATTTTTCTTCTGTTTTTTTTTTTTTGGCTCTCTTTTGTGGTCGCCCCCTGCGGTCAAGGGGTTAAGTTATGCCGTGTCTGTAATTGAGTGACCTTTTTGGCAAAAAGGGTCGGTGTCTTCGACTTTGTTTATATTAATAGAACTGAGGCGGGGTTGCACTTTCCTGTGGCTCGTTTAATGTGCTTTGCAATACCAATTTCTCTTATCTTTGTTTATAAATAACGTGTCTATTGTTGTTTTTCCTTTTACTTTGTGTGTTTAGCTCTTGTTTTTAGTTTTTTTGCAATTTATTTTGAAGGCTCTATCCTTTGTTTTGGTAAAAATTTGCAATCATTTTGGTAATATTTGTATATAAGTTTTCCTGTTGTAATTTAAGAAACTTACCTAAAACTCATTTTCTTAAAAACTAGAGTTTTTCTAAATAAATTTGATAATTAATTCTTAAAAATGGTCGCTTGAGTGCGCGTTGGGCTGAGCACGAAGTTTAGCGATCAAACCCCGTGAAGAAAATAAAATGTTTAAAAATGGGGTTTGAGTTTTCACGTGAGATCTATTTCCTTCTCTCTCTCTCTATTTATATATTTATATTTCTTTATTTGCATCTCTATACTATCTCTATCTCTGTCGTCCTCTATCTCTGTCTTCCTCTATCTCTGTCTTCCTCTCTCTCCATCTTCCTCGTTCTCTTCCTCACTATCTCTCTCTCTCTTTACTATCTCTCTATTTTCCTCACTATCTCTATCTTCCACTCTCTCTCTCTCCCTTCCACTCTGTCCCTACCACTCTCTGTCTCCCTCTATCTTCCTCTCTCTCTCTCTCGTTCTCGCTATTGCTCTCTCTCTCTATATCCCTTTCCATATTCACCCTATCTCTTTTTGTCTCCATCTTTCTTTCCTCTCTTTCTATCCATCTCTCTCTCTCTCTCTCTCCATCAGTCTCTTTCCATCTCTCTCGCTATCTCTGCCTCCCTATCTTTGTTGATGTTCCTTGCTTCAAGCTCTTCAACTTGTGCCCATTCTTCATTTACCGCAACTGGTAAACCTCTTCATCAATGGCGGGGCTTAAGCCGCCACATAAATCCCAATTGTGGCAAGCGCAGAGACAATCTTAAGCTCTGCACGCCTTTTGCTCGTAGGAAAAATGTGTTGGCAATCTGTGAACTCTAATTGAAAATCATTTGAAAAGCAAACACAAACAACACAATTGTCGCATGTCGCACACACACACACACACACACACACACACGCACACCCTTCGCAAAAATCAAGTGTGATGCCAGACAGCTGAAATGAGGGTATGAGCGGGTACGCGGGGCGGGGCAAAGCAACTGCGACACGAGCTACAAAACCAAAAAAAAAAATAATGAAAACAAAATGAAAGAAGAAAATCAAACGTTGAACTAATGACAATTTTCAATGCTTCACGCGTTGCGGGGTAATGTTACCACGCCGCCCCACCCCCTACCCGATCCAACACCGCAACGCCCCCATGCTGTGACTAATGAGCATTGCCGACTTAGATAAGAAATGAACTGGCCGGAACAGCACATTGCGAATGTGCGGCTGGGGAGCGGTACAGGGCGGTTGGGGGCGTGGGGTAGTTGTTACCAAGTAGCAGCAAAAAGATTTGTGCCAAAAACTAAAAAAATACAGATACAAATACAAAAGCTACAGCTACATATAGGTGTGGTGCACGTGGGTGCGTGTGTGTGTGTGTGTGTAGTGTACAAATAGATAGATTGATATGTGTGTGTTTGTGCACATATTGTACTTATGTCATTGATGAGACCCGCGGGCCAATACGCTCTGACGTGCTCTGGCCACACACACACACGCATACACACACGTACACACACTCGATACAGCATTTGGGCAGAGCTGAGCAATGCCAATAGAATGCGAAACGAACTCTTGCCTGATATTGTTTAAAAGGTTTGAAGATCTAAAATCTTGGCCCCATACATGATTGATGGATGCCACAGCAAGTTGTTGCCTGGTTTTTACAAATTTTGTATCTTACAGATGCGAATGCGGCTGCGTTTACACAACTTACACATTGCTTCATTATTTTGTGAAAATTAGTATTTGTTTTTTCTCTCGGGATGTGTTCTGTGTGTGTGTCTGGCTGGCCTGCTGCCACTTGACTTGGACTTTTTGATGTTTTTTATTTGGCCCAATATGCAGCGACTTGGCCAAATACAGTTGCCCAATGCAGGCAGGCATCAGGCAGACAAACTTGTGAGTCCAACAGGCGCTCTTGTCGCTCACTCAACTGCAGCATTTAATTTCATTGTTGTTGTTGCTGTTGTTGTTGCTGCGGCTGCTGTGTTTTAATTAAATTTCGCAATGCAAACGTTGAAGAAAACATTTTGTAAATTGCATTTCATGTGCAATTCTCGTTCGACATTTGCCGGCCTCGTCTCGCGCGCGCACATATGCTGCTCAGTCGAGGGGCAGGCGGGGCACAGTTTGATGCATGCTGCGTCTGCTGGCAAAATACAGTGAAACTAATTGCGAGTAACAAATGCCGCCTGCCTCGCGTGTTGCTGTCGCCTGACGCAGTTCTAGCCAAAAAACAAACTAAATAAAAAATAAATAATATTTGCATTTGAACATTTTTGGGCGGCGTTGCCTATCAAAATGAAGGGCAGCAGCATGTGCCTAGCATGCGGCGGCTAGCTGCAACAGCAGCGCGACAGCATTTACGTCGTCAGTCAGTCAATCAGTCAGTCAGTCAGTCATTCACTCAGTCTGTCAGTTATTGAGACAGTCGCCAGCAGATGTGCGGCATCAGGGGTTTCGCTGCCTTGTGGCAAGTCTAATGAGCTGCAACATTTAATGCAACGTTTTTTTGTTGAAACTAGACAAATCTCATGAGGCTTTGCAAAACAGGTCCGCCAATGGGTTTCTTTTGTATCTTTTCAAAAATGAATATATTTATAACTTTTTGTGAAACCTCTTAAAAGTCAAAGGATGAGTTTTTAATTTAAGCCGAACTAAATCTTTCTAGATATTCTGAAAATCCAAAAAAATAAATAAACAAAAAAATATAACATTTTTAGTAAAATTGTATATACATTATTTTTTAGTTTTAACCCAGTCGAATTTTTATTTTATGATTGTATTTATTGTAATTTCTAAAACTGAATTTTTAAAATTTTTTTATGATTCGTGTCACAAAATTATTTATTTTTCTAACTGCCACTCAAAATATCCTCAATGCTTGAATAATGACGTTTAATTTTTTATATTGAGCTATCTATGTATATATTTTGTTTTAATACCAGAATCCCGACTGCATATCTGAAAATTACCTTGAATGAACATAATCAAATAATAAATTAAATATAATTTGTAAACTCTCGTTCATCTCATGTTTATAATGAATTGCTTGTAATTTCCTTTTGTTTCTCATCGAATGCGTTTCTCACACTTTGCCCACAAATAATTTGCACCTCGCAATTATCATGTACAAATCAATGTATAGTTCTATATAGATCTCTGCATATTCTCCTAGTCAAATTGATGAATGTCAATTCATCAAGCGAACTGACAGCATGATAGACCGACTCTTTGGCCATATATCTTGGCTATTTATATTGCCTCGATTCTTTATCTGTGAGATTTCGCAACTTGCTGCAGTTCAACTTGCAACTCAACTCGACGCAAGTTTTCTTTGCTTTTCTTTTAAATTTCTTGGCAAAGATGCATTTAAGCATATTGTAAATGTATCTGTATCTTTAGCTGTCGCTTGTATCTGTATCTTTTTAGCTGTATCCGTTGGATATGTCGCCGCGCACTTTATAGCGTGTTTTTTTGACCATTTGATCAACTGTGAGTGCAAATCTTTTTTAGCTCGATGCAAAACTTATTTGCACTGCTCTGTCCCCCGTCACATAGAGTGCGTCCGACCGCTCGTCTGTCTGTCTGTCCGTCTGTGTAGGCCCTAGGCGAATAGCTCGCGGGTAATTCATCTTCATTTCGTTGCGGTTCGAGTTGAAATGCGCCGTGGTATGCAGCCGCGACACCGCCGCGGCGACCGTCCGCGCGGCTATTTTCAAATCGTTCGCGCCGTTGTGCCAGAAATGTTTCAAATGCTTTTTAGAAAAGAAAAGGAAAACCAAAATACGAATAGAACAACTTTTCGAATAGCAGCATAAAAAAAAATTTAGATAAAATAAAACAAAATCAAATTTGAAATAATTTTTTTTCCCTTGCCATGCACTTAAGCCCAAACCCGGTCAGGCATACATCCATCAATCATTTCGCTTACAGCTTCCACTTAGTTAAATTTTTTTTCTTTCTGTAATTTAATCAACAGTTTCCAGTGTCAACGTCGGCTTCTCCTTGCGGGTGGGCGTTGTGCGCACAGCAAAATATATGATCTTTATTATTATTAAAGGCAAATTTGACAGAAAACAAATGTTTTCTAGACTCGCCTTGGGTTTTTCAACATACAAATTGTGCGTCAAGAGCGGTTGAGATTTTTTGTTCTTCTTGCTTCCTTCTCCTTTTTTGATTAAAGCCCCTCGCGCTGCTGCTTGACGCTTGCTAGATTATGTTACAAGGTAAACACAGATTTTGTGGGCACTTGGGCCCATTTGGAATTGTTTATATATGTATATGTGTATGTGGAAATATTCGAAAATTGCTAATGATAGTTCGTTATGCTGTGCGGCACATGATAAACTCTTTGTACTTGAGGCTTCTCGTGCGGGTATATCATGAGAGAGTCATGATATAACTCGGCTTTTTCCAAACGAAACTCTACAAAAATTGTTGAAAATATTTAATGAGAGTCTAAGAGCTATGCCTACTAATTCTTTAAGAGTTTAGCCTAAAAGTGAATATTATAATCCTAAAGGAATAATGTGTGTATCCTCAAGGAATAATATGTACATATTTGTGCAATCTCCAGAAAACTGGGAGAGCTATTCGAAAATTGTATTATATCTTTTTCCATAAATTTTTCAATCTATTTCTTACATAACCTGAATTAGAAGCTATACATTTTTCTAGAAATATTCTAATGGATTCCTTACAAAATCTTAAAAAATTAGTTATAAATCTTTCTAAAAATGTTCCGTTTGATTCCTAAAAAACTTAATTTCTTATTCAGATTTATTCCTTACAAAATCGAAATAGAAATTTGAGTAAATAAATCTCGAAAAGTAATAGATTAATTACTTATTATTCATATTGCGAATGATTGCTTCAAAACCCTTATAATAAAATTGGCTAAAAACTATTTGAAGAAATATCCAGATTGATTCTCCTTAAGCAATCCTAATATAAATTGAAGAAATTCAATTGACAAGCTCGAGAACAAGCTGCGTAAAAACTCAACAGCCTCATCATGTGAGCCATAGCTGTCAGTAACATATGTCAATTAATTTGAACAATTTACAAGCTCGCTCGTGACCTTAAGATAGCCCCTCGTGTTATTAAAGTACAGCTCGTCGGCGCGCAACCCTTTGGCCCATTAAAGCTACAGCTTTGGGTGGCTAAAAATGCGTCACAGCAGCAGCCAGCGATCCATTAACCTAATTACAAGCGCAGGGAAAGAAAACAAAACTTCAACTGGGAGCTACTTAAAAGCAGCGCATAAAAATAAAATAAAATAATATGTTAAAAAAAAGGTTAAGTGAGCTCGACTCGAGCTGGCGGGAATGTTGTGAAAAATTCAGCAAATTAACTAAAATAAAAAGCCAAAAAATTACACGTGAAAGTGGCATCAAAAGTCGCAGCAGCAGCAGAAACAGTAACAGCGGAAAACAAAAATCAGTAAACGCTGGAGGAGCTGAAAAATGGTGTTGGAAAGTTAATCAAGACAAACGCTAATTAGTTAATGAATTGCTGTTCAAGGAAAAAAAAAAAACAAATGTTATGCAAGAACTGCAAAAAAACCGAGATAAAAATTGAGAAAATTAGAGGACATAAGATAGAGACCGAGTCTTAAAGATACCCTGGGATCTGATATGAATCTTATATAAGCATAAAGTTTTGGGCTAAAAATGTGATCAATCTTAAACTATAAGATAATGCGTAAAACAAGATATAGAATGCCTTAATGATACCTTAGGAGCTGACTTAAAAGAAGAAATGAGATAGAGCGAGTCTTGAAGTTACCCAAGGATCTGATATGAACCTTAGGCAGGCAGAACTTTTTAGTGTTAAGTATGAGATCCTTTTCGTACTACTACATAGTTGATAAAGTGAGACACAGAAAGGGTTTAACATACTCTACAATCCGACGCAAAAGGAGAGTTGTGAACAATATAAATTAAATTAGACGAAATGAGATTGAGTAAGCCTAGACTCTATCTCATTTCTAGAGTCTAGGCCTCTATCACATTACCTCTAATTTTATATATTTTTCACAACTCTTATATCATATTCTTGGGTATCTTAAAGAAGGCCTAGGCCCTTATTGCTGGCATAACTTTTCTTGTTAAGTGCACAATCATTTGTGAATTTTTAGAATATTTAGTTAAACTCATAAAACGTCAGCATATATATTTAATGTTGGCATTCTACATTATCGAATAGCCATATATATTGCTTATTTCTTTTTTTAGTTTCAATATAGGGTATACAAAACGCCTGCCGCTTCACGTGAGCAAATATACATTCATATTCAGCTACATTTTCAGCATTTCCTGGCATATAACCCAGTTAATTAGCGCGAATATCGGCGCATGTCTGGCATTTTGGTGTCAAGTCTATGAGGCCAAAAACAAGCTTCGCCGGCTCCACCAATCAGCCGCCACCTGTCCATGTTTACTTAGCACACCTCACTCCCTCCCTCTCCCACGCTTGCTCTCTCCCTCTCGTTAGTTTCTCTTGCATGTGCAGCAACAGCGTACTAGCATTTTTCTCACCTGCGAAAATTGAAAAAGTCTGCCACTTGCGCCCGCCCTGCCTGTGCAACTCGCAAGCGTTGATTGACATTTGAACGTGACATGAACATGTTTTACCTAAATTCCGCAATTATTTATAGAGTCCCCTCAAACAAATTATGCTAGCCCGCAACAACAATCGAATAGCCCTACTTTTTGTTGCCATGTTTTTTTACTTATTATTATTATTTTTTATTTTTGCACGCATTTCGCTGACAGCGTCAATTAACGTGAAAAACTTGTGCGCAAACTTTGTTTTATTTTGACTTGAATTTTTCACAAATAAATAGCCAACAACATTTAAGTCGAAAATAATTTGAAAAGCTGAAAAATCAATTCGTTTTAGCGGGCTAAACTTGCATTTTGGGCCATTAAAAATGTGTTGTGCATAGCATTTGACAGGCAGTCAGTGAGCGGGCAGCTGGTTTGACATGAAGTCTGGCAACTAATGGCCAAAGACATTTAATGCATTGATTTTTTAGTTGAGAGAAAAGTGAATAGAGGAATGCGTATAAAGCTTAAAAGTATTTGGCTTTTATGAACTGAGGTCAAACGAAAATATTTCTTGAAATCTCCAATGCTACGATTTACAAGTCACGTTTCAATATAATACATGTTCAAACAAAAACAAACGAAAATTGTTCAGTTACTCAGAAAAATTAAACTAAAACGTAAGTGTACTATCTTTGCAAAATTTCAAATAAAATCAAAAAAGAAAGTATAAATGAAAATAAAGCAAGCAACAATGTTTGCTGTAACTCGGTAAATAATATAACGAAAAAATCTCCTCGAACTCACCTCATCTAATCGAAAAACTATTGCAGCTTTCTCAATTATGTGGACCAGTTTAAAGCAATTGGCTCGAATATATATAAAATTCTTAATCGGAACAGTTTTTATCGCATGGTTTTTAAATCTTCAATCATCTTTCTGCTGGGCACCTATGTGACAAAGGAGTTTGAGGCACATGCGTTAATTTAGCTTCAATTTTGTAATTTTATATATGCCAAATTTGATGTATGTTTTGAGTCAAAATAAACCAAATCGGAGCACCGAGATATGTCTAAATGTATATTAAATGCATACATATGTCTTTTTATTTGTTAGCTATATACTATATAAACCTGAACTAAACTTGCATACACACTTATATCAAATACTTATATATCTGTATATATATATTACTATTTACAGTCCACACAAAATCAGAGTCAGCAGCAAGCACTACTGAACAAGTCAAACGACGACCTAAGGAGAAAGCGTCCTGAGACTACACGGCCAAATCACATTCTACTCTTCACCATCATAAATCCTTTCTATCCCATCACAGTTGTAAGTACACACAAAAATTATTATATATACATCATATAGACATATACTATGTACATCAATTTTAATTTCATATACTATATTTCTATACATCTCTTGTTGCTATTGTCGCCATTGTTGTTGCTCATTCCTAGTCTGAGCCTTAAAGCGCACAATCTTTTATGTATACCCTGTAATCATAAAGTGTTTGACAAAGGGGCTTTTTATATATACAGAAAGGGTCGACGGTTGCTCGAATTAGGTTTCTAATACTTTTTGTGTGGTACAAATAGGCGTTATCTTAAACTAGGTCTGTTTGTACCCATTGAACTCAGAGTAAGTTAGAGCTGGGGCCTGAAAATTTGGTATGTTGGTTTTTATAAGCGAAATATATATATTCTATATAAAACATGAGATCTTGCGCAATTTAAACATACTAACCCAAAATTAAAATGGAAATAAGAATATCTTTTTAATTAAGAATCATAGGTTGGAAAATATCGGAGAACTAGAATTTAAAGTGTGTGCACGCATGTGAATGTAAAAGCAGTAGTATACGCACGCTTATGAATGTAAAGTAGTTCTTTTACAGGGTATTTACCTGTCGATTATAGTTACACCACACTTTTTAAGCTATTTAGAAGCAAGGTTTTTGGCAAGGCGATGAAAAACTGAAATCCATGGCAATTTGTTGTGAGTGGCTGCAAAAACTTGTCACACACTTGAGTAGAGCTCAACAAGAAGGATATAAATACATATATATATATATATATATATATGTGTGTATAGATAGATGTGTTTGTGTGTGTGTGGTCTTTGGTGTGACAACAGTTATTTGCCACACTGTTGCCTCTTTGGCGTGCTTAAGAAGTGGCAGCTGGAGGGCGCTTCAAGTTGTTGTTATTTTTTATTATAGAGGATTTTTCATTGGCTTTGCGGCACGTGTGTGTGTTTTTGTGTGTGTGTGTCTTTTGTGAACACTTGGGGCCTGCTCGCTCTGTGGTTTTCTGGACATATATCTATATATATATATATATTACTTTTTAGCTAGAAAGTGTGTGACATTAAAGCGGCAACAAATATGCAATAGCCCAAGCACAAACAGATTTCGCTTAAGCATTTGTGTAGCTGAGTGTTTAGCCAGAGTGCATTGTTAGACGTGCAACAACCTGCAGCAGCAGCAGCAGCAGCAACAACAACAAAATCAACAACAATTACAAAAAAAAACACTGCAACAAAAAAGCATTAAAAATGCATCAAGTAGTCAAGTGTTTGCAATGCTTCAAAAAAAAAACTTGAAGCCCAGCTCAGTTACAGATTGAAGAAAACCGACTGCAGTTACTTATACATTTAAGAATCTTAAGCAAATATTAATTCAGCCGAATTTTTAAATGCCCTGTAAAATTTATACATTAAACGATGAACAGAATTGTAGATAATTTTAAAGAGTTTTAAAGGTTTTTGGCTTTATAGAAATTTAAAAAAGTTTTATATTTTTGAAATATATTTGTATTATTACTATTGCATTCCAGATTTTGCATAGTAAATATATTCTATTTTTGAAGTTGAGAAAACTAAGAGAATTAGATGTCATATAGGGTATTACTTTTTAACTCTTGTTTTTACTATCCAAATAAGTCGAATATTACGACTAATTCTTTTAAAAGCGTTTTTCACTTCCATATAAAGAACTCATTTGGAAAAATGTACACTATAAGCTATAACGTAAGAAGTATCGTCACAAATATGCACAGCACTGCTGCTGTACAGGGTATACATGATACGCATATTTACACTTTTGTTGGCCCGCACTGACACAGTTTATTGTCTTTTTAGCAAAGGCAAAACATTTGGCGGCACAACACAAACAAAAGCAGCAGCAGTAGCAAAAAAATATGTAACAACATCAAAAATGCGGAAACGTGTTTTTTTTTTCGCTCAGTGTATGTGGCATGTGTGCTGGCAATTGTATTTTCCAACACTTGAGCTGAGCGTAGTGTGGCACATAAAATCCTGTGAAGTGGAAAACATGCAGCATAAAAGCGCTGAAAAACTGTAAAACTGCAAATTATTTGTACCAGTCGTCAGACATACATACATGCATGCATGCAGACATATATGTATACATAAATGTCTACATGCAGAATGCATACATGCAGCATGCATACATGCATACATGTCTACATTCAGCATGAATACATGCATACATTTGGAGATTCTACATGCATACATATGGACATTCTACATGCATACATGTAGACATTCTACATGCATACATGTCTTCATGCATACATGTATTCATGCATACATACATACATGCATACATACATACAACATATATTCATACATACACAGCGGTTTATATACATACAATTGGTGTCTATAGCTAGGGATATAGAGCACAGGCTTCAGTCAGGCCAGACATGTTAATTCGCATGCAAAAAAAAAAATGGAAAAAGCAAAAGCTGTCACAGCTTTTCCAAATAACCCCCCAAGTGCTGCCCCGCCCCCCGTCCTTTGACTGACTGACTGACTTTTTGCTGGGCATTATTTTCGTCCTTACAGATTTGCTGCTATTGTTGTTGTTCTTGTTGCCGTACTCAGTGTTGCGTTAAGTCCGACTTGCCGGATTTATATACGGCTGGCCTGTTTGTAGATTTTTTTCCACCCACAAACCCCTCTGCTCAGTCCCCTTTCTCTGTCTGGCATAAATCTTTTGTTGATTCAAGTCATCGCCGTGGGATTTTGGATGCTGGAAGGGAAGAGTTGTCTTTCCTGGGCCATATCCTTTATATGCACTCACGCTGCTGCGAGTGTTTGTCATGGAATTAAGCAATTCCTTTTTGCCTTTATGGCACAAATTAAAAGGCTTCTGCAGCTGAAGTAATCCATGCTCCCACTCCCCCTTCCCCATTACACAGACACTTACCCGAATTCTTATATGTCTTTCTCACTGCATGCACTTCGCAGGCGCTGTGTCGTAATGTTGTCCCAGTGCAAATGAAGATTAAGTGCACATTACGCTTTATGACTGATAAGCGGAAAATGTAAGGAAAATGTGTTATGCGAGACGAGCAAATATTCTGCAGAGGCGACACCTTAATAAATATATGCCAAAAGAATATGCATTAAAATGCTGACAACTTGAGTAATTTTAAAAAAAAAGGTGACGGATGTGAGAAATCTGGCTGACAAGTTGCAGACACTTATCTTGAGTTTTCACTGAGATACGAATCGTTAGTGCGTAGATTAAAGCATAGTTTCTTTATAATATTATGAGGGTATTTGATAACCAGTTGAATAATACTTTTGCCCTGAATATATCTTGTGTTTTGGCTGAGTTGCAATAGGTTAGTAAGTAGATACGATGTTCATTCTTTAATGTCATCAAAGTATTTCTAGTAAAGTGTTGCCAGGTTAAAGAAATTTGCTTGAGTTTTGGCTGAGTTACGATAGTTTGGTATATTGATGGGTAGAACTTATTTAAAGATTAAATGCGCTACGACAGCTTTTTGCCAAAAAACATTTGCTAAAACACTTTAAAGTTAATGTGATTAAAGTTTCTTTTATTTGTTTCTTACACATTTTCAAATTGAGACATTTCCGAATTCTAAAGAACTTGGTAAACTTGCAAAGTAGGCAGGAAGCTTCAGCAACGTAGACTGACTTAGCTGAACTAATCGCAAGCTAAACGACCTCTAATAGCAGCCTGAACTTTTGTCAACAATGTAGACATACACACACACAAGTACACACATGGAGACATGCCCACTCAGACAGCCGAACATGCCAAAAAGAGCATAGTGTACGACGAGCTAAACTTTTGCCATTGCAATGGTTCAGTCATTTCCGCAGCTTTGTTGTAGATGGAGAGCAAAATGAATAGAGGCAGAGACTGAGGAATAGATGGTAGGAATTTTGAAAGCTTATCAGGGAACAAAAAGAAGCTCTGTGAAGGGGAGGCGGAGGGGGCAGCAGCAGCAGTAGCAGTAGCAGCGGAGATAAGATTAAAAAGTTTTTAATAAGACGACACTAAAAGCATCAAAAGGAAAATTTTTGCTGCATATGTGGAAAAGTGGTGGCAGGGAAAACTTTTAGCTGCTAAGCGCGCAAACTTGAACTTTAAGCTGCTCACAACAACAACAACAAGAAGTAGAGCAAGAGGCAGCAGATGGAGCAGCTGCATAGTATGCAATAAAAGTATTAGCAGCAGGCGCAACAATGTTCAATCAAATATTAAGCGTGTGCAACAGCAGGAGCTGCCACAATGCGTTGTGCAAGGGTTTGAGCAAACGCGCGGTACTTGGCTTGGCATATGTAAAACCTCTTTGAAATGGCTTATCAGAGCGCTGTGTTGGCCAAAAGGCAGGCAGCGAAAAGCGTCAGCGTCAGAATGCAGCGACGACAACAGCTGCACAATTTTCAATATGTGACACATGGTGAGGCAGCTGCAGCTGCAGCAGGGAAAACAAGAACAGGACGCAGGACACGCGCTGACGTCTAAAGCCAAAGCTAAAGCCATAGACCATAGAGCATAGACCATAAACCCAAAGCAGATCCTTTGGCAGCAGCCGCCGTTGCCGCCGCCGCGATTTGCTGGCGGCTGTGGCAGTTGCAAGTTAAAAGAAAGAAAAAATTGTGGCTGCTGCTTTGCATATATGGCTGCTAAAAGCGTATCCGTGCAGTTTTCAATAATGCAAGTTTGAAGACTATACCAAACCAAGCATACTCAACTCGAAGCCCTTTGCTGCCCCCTTTTGAACCCCAGCTGCATGCAACTGCGAGACGTCGCGTATTGTGTTGCATTTTGTTTATGCATGCGACAGCATCAAAGCTCAAGATGTTCGGGGCTGTGGCACGGGCACGGTTACGGGTTAGGGTTAGCTTATTGAAGTTTGAGGCCATGTCGTATTTTAGCAGGTTGCCTTTTTTGCCAAGCACTTTGACAAATCGATGCCGTTTGTGCGGGTTGCTTAAAAGTTTTTTCAGGGCTTAAAAAACTATGTTTCTGAATAAAAATTGCAAAGTCAAAGCAGCTTCGAATGGTTTATAGATGAGGCTGAATAGCTACATATAAGTAAAGTAAAAATATGTGAACATTTGAATATTTGTTGGGCTACAAATATTATCATGCCATATCGAGTTCTGTAAGAATTTAGTCCACATTTAATACTATAGAAATGTCGAACTTATGCTCACTCGAAAAATGGTGCATTAATTATTAACTAACAATAAAATGCATTTTATATTTGACATATAATCTGCAAAGTGTATTAAACCTCTAAAACATTTTATTAAAATATAAATAAATAAAAATTGTCCTCTATTGGTTTAGTTATATTTAATAATTAAACAATATCATTATTAACTGAGTGCTATTGCTCAATTATTTTATATACACTTTATAATTTTGACTTACTATTGTTTTGTCAGTCATATAACATATGACAGTTTGTAGTATATTTTACCCTCCATTTGCGGTATTTTTTTTGTAATATTTTTTTCCCATTACTATAAATGCTTCCACCAGAGTCGCAATTGGGGCTCACTTTACTTCCGTCCGACCAACATACATATTGGGAATTATTAGATCTATCCACCATTTTGCTTTAAAGTCTTCGTCCAGGAAACTAACTGAAAATCTAAGAAGCGGAGGACATTATAATAGAAAAATAATGGTTTTATGTTTTGATTAACCTTTACTTTGTTACTTACACTTAGAATTTTTGATTACTACAATATAAAAACAAATGTCGGTTCGGCCAATTGTGGAATGTTCTTAAGAGCACGCTTCTTATGTGCTTAGTCGCCTACTACGTGCTCATCTTTATTTATTTCGTTTCGTAGTATGCGATAAAGAAGATTCGGAAACTGCTTAATATCATTTTTGGTTAGATGACCACGCTCGTACATTTCATGGAAGAGCTACAAAACATTATATATTTTTTAGTGAATTAGGAAAGCCTTATAGAGTGAGGTTTTTATAACCTCGAAGAAAGGGTAATGTCGAATTTCTTATAGCTTAGAAAAAAGGCTAATTTCATTTTCAGATAATACTTTTCAAATATTTTCAACAGTTTTAAAAAATATAAAGCAATAGTTTGCAACCCAATGATGAGTTTTTTCTGTTTTAAAAAATAATTTCTTAGAAAAATGAGGAAAATTGTGTTTAGAGAAGTTTTATCCTCTCACTCGCTTTTCTGAATTTCTACACTCTAGGGTTATTTCGGGCTGTTTTTTTCTTTTCTGAACGTAACCGAAATCAATCAGAAACCATTTTTAATTTGATATCCTTATATAGCTGGTTTAGGATATTTAAGAATATTTTTCAATATTTAAGCATATTGAGTTCCGGATTGCCTTATTTTTCCTAACTCTTGCTGTCTACTCACCACCTCCTTGAACTGTCCGCCGTTGACAGCCGCCGTCCGTTGTGTGCGCCACTCGACTTGCAGCTGTTTGTCGGCCTCATTGATAGGCTGCGGCATCCAATCCATCAGCTCCTTGTTGCTAGCTGCTTGCTTGGCTAACTTGGTGGGGCCCTTGAGTTTCTTAGCTGTCCTAAGCTTGGCCTTGGCTCGGGGCTTGGTCTTGCACTTGTCAGCCAACTGCAGTTGCTGTTGCTGCTGGTGCTGCTGTTGCTGCTGGTGCGGCTGTTGCTGCTGGTGCGGCTGTTGCTTCTGCAGTTTCTGCTGCTGTGGCTGTTGCTGGTTGAGGCCCGCTTTGGAGCTGGAGCTCATGATTTTGGAGCTGCCCGCTTGCAGCCGTCCGCTGACCGCATGGCTAACCGCATGCTTGGCCAGGAATTCGGCATCGAGACGAGATTCCCGTTCCAGGCGACGTGCGCGTCTTGCACGGCACTGCAGCTGGCGGCGTTGTGTGCGTCGACGGGACTTGATGACGGTCATGCTGCGTTTATTCCGTATGCGTGCGCCAGTTGTCATCATATTGTCCGGATTGATTTCCATTTCCAGATTCGATTCCAGTTGCTGCTTGTCAACCATCTGCCAAATGCCCACCCTTTCCTTGCCCGCATTTTGTTGCAATAATTTGGCCTTTTGCAAATGTATATCCTTGGCTATGGCCAGCGCCTCCATGCGTTTCTGTTTGAGCAAACTCGAGAAATTCTGTGTATTGTTCTGCAGGAATATATGCTGCAGCTTCTGTTTGCGCTGTCGCAAGCGACGCAGCTGAACCTGTTCGGTTAACAGCTGCTGTTGCAGTTTCTGTTGCTTCAGATGCTCACGATTGAGGCGATTACGATTCTTGCTTGTGTTATTCTCCTTGAACATGGACACCTCTTTGAATTGATTGTAGAACTTGAAATAATAATTGACTCGATCGCTATTTGTGGGCGGCATAATCCGTCTATAGTTGCCCAGATGGCTCTCCTCCCAGGCAATTTGCTGGGCCAAGGCGCCCAGGGAACATGCCTGATTCAGTTCAGCGCCACCGGCGGCTCTTTGCGGTGTCACCGCCGACTTGCTGGGGGTGGTTGCGCGCCGCCGATGCGCCTGCTGTCTCATTAAACGATCCCTTAGCTGTGCACGATCCTCGCGAATAATCTCCTCCTTATCGACGAGCGGCGTGCTAATTAAATTCAATGTATCCCGTATTAACGGGCGCTTCACTTCATAGTCAACGGGCTCCCCGCCAGATAGACTCGGCGTATGGTTGACCTCCAAAATGTACGGTTTGAGCTTCCAATCCACAAGTATGTCAAAGCCCAGCAGCTGAAAGCATGCCTGAATCTTGTCGTGCTTGGGGAAACACAAATGATAATTATGCTTGAGCACCGGCCATGCGCTAATCACAGTCTTGATAATCGCATCATCCACCGCTGCCCAGAACTCGTCCACGCTGTAGTTGTGGTCCACGAGCCACTTGTTGTAGGCGCTCAATTTTCGCTTGGAGCCACCATCATTGCCACTGCCCGCATCATAGTTCGAATTCCGACGATTCACACAGTAGTTGGTCAGGTGCATGAACATGTTATTACTGTTACCCAGTGCCGGGGGCTTGTATTTGTGCGTCGCAAAACGAGCCAAACCCTCATTGTACACAAATATGCGCAATGGATCCACTGAGGTAACCAGTGTATAGACACGCAAATCAAATTTATAACCATCGATTAGCAGGGGCTGCGCAAATAAAGGAGATGATGGTTAAACAAGGTGTTAGAGAAAGAGTTTGTGCTGAAATGGAGCATGGCTGAAGAAAGAAAAATTAAGAATGATTAGAACTGGAGCTGAGGCTATTTTAATGGAGTACTTTTTATTTTATTCTATTTATTTACTTGTTAAATTGTGAGCGACTACCTAGAAAACTATTTCATATGAAAAAATATAATATAAAATGAGAGAGGGTATAAAGTGGCAGAAGTAAACAAAATATATGATATCTAAAATAAGAGCAAGAGTTGCTCGACTTTCCTGATGAAGCGAAGCAGTACTCTTGTTGGAGAAGCTCTGATCTGAGCTGGAGAGCTAAGCCCACATGCTTCCTGCTAAGTATATCAAGGAAAATTGAGATAGAAATGAGATATAAGCGCGCATTATATATTATACATCATATATCCAATGCAATATACCTCTCCAACATTTTCACCACACCCGCTCGCCCCCTCACTCACCTTATCAACGTATGTCTGACATATGAGCTTCTCCTGTCTGCCCACAGAGCGCAGATTATTGGTAAGCCAAATGCCACGCCCCTGGCCTGATGAATACGGCTTGAGTATAAAGGTGCGTTTGTGTTTGTTCGAATAGACGGCCACATCGTAGGTACTAAATAGAACTTATTTCGATTAATTTCGTCCAGTACTATGTTTGTGTACTTACTCGGTGGGCAGCAGCCAGGTTTTGGGAAAAATGCGATAATCGCCTGGATACATTTTGAGCATGCGATTCAGATTGCGCGAGAGCAAATCCTTGCGACAGATCTCGCTCATGCCGGGAAAATGATTGATTTGCTGAAAGCGCTTCATGCTCTTTAATAGATCAAAATGGGGCGTATTATCGCACCATTGCACGTTCCACAGACGATGCTCGGGTACATGGGTCAGGCCCATGCCCTTGGTTACCTTGGCGATGAGTGGAAAGCGGGTATGCTCAACACATACGCTTATCCGTATGCCGCGTATCAGAGGCTCAATGCCCGCTGGATCTAGCTTCAGACGCGGCTCATGCAACACATTGTGGCAGGTGGGCTGTCGTCGTCTTTTCTTCGTGTGTTCATTGATCAGCGTATCGTCCTCGGAGAGCAGCAAATATGGACTGCCTCTTGTGTCCTCCACAAATGCCTTGTCAATGGGCTGCCATTGAATCGCCGATGAGACGGATCGACCGGGTGACCAGGTCTCAGTTCTTGTTCGCTTGTTCATCGGTGATCCGATTTCCTTGGTGGAATCGGCCACCCTGTAGCTTTTGTCATTGTGCAATAGGTTTTTGACATCAAAGTAACGTGTGTATTGATTGGAGACCTTCTTTGACTTGAACTTTTTTATGGTAGTCATCTAAAGTATTTTTTAGTTCATAACATAATTTGTAACGATGCGAAGCGGTGTGCGTTTTAATCAAATATTACCGTTGCCTGGGAATTATTTAAAAGCAAAATGGTTGCGAGTACCCAAAATTTTGACAGTTTTATGACTGACAAGCAATGCAAATGCTGTACGGTATATTTATTTTCTAAAAGATTTCTTGTTTGTTTTTTTTTTTAATTCTTAGAATTGACAACCGGCTTATGCGCAAATGTGACCACATACTTTTGTTTTTCGTTTTCGTTAAACTAAAATATTTATGATTTTTTGTTGAAGGCACAAAAAAAAGTCGGTAAAAATGTACATTGAAAATGTTTCTATAATTAAGTAATTCGTTCTTAAATATTCTAAAACTTATGAAACATTTTTCTTGATTCCAGAGAAGTTTAAAATAAATTAAAAATAATTTTTTTATTAATTCTGAAAAGTTTAAACTTTTAAGAATGTCTACAATTAAGACACTTTGTCATTTAAATTTATATTGGGTGCAGAAAACTTTTAAATAACTTTGCTTTTTGTACAGTACAATTTTGGGCTCATTTTGCTTTAATTTCGTATGTATTTTGCAATGTCACAGCTGCTCTCAGTGTCAGCTTATCTGTGTGGAACCTTCACAATATATTTTAACCGCATTTCATTGCCATAACATTTATCAGTAGCTAGCCGAACTTGGCCTGCTCCCCCGCAGTTGTAATAGAATCTTGTTGCTGTGGTTCAACCTGTCGCGTTTCTCCATTATCAAAGTCACGGTGCGCCTCAAGCCACAAAATCGTCATGTGCAACACCTTGCGTTAGCTGATATGCCCCATGAGCAGAGCTCTAGATGTAGTCGCTTTATGGGCGTGGGTGGAGGGGGGGGTTTGAAAGAGTCTGGTAGTGTGTGGTTTACTGAGTGGCTCATTAACCGCAGTTTAATCAAGTTTTAGACCTTTGCGGTTATTAGTTCGGGCAGTTGTTTATAGTTGATGTTTAAGAAAAGCTACACACGAATTATGGACCCATATATATGACAACTAGATTTTTATAGTTGTTGTCGATGTTGCTGTTCCTGCTGTTGTTGTCATACGCTTGGTTAACTTTCATGACAATCACAACAATAACACACATGCAAGCGCTTCATTTGGGTCGACACTTTCGAGCGGCCGCGTGATTGTCACCCAGTTGCACCCATGACAATTCCCTTGCACAGACACATTACCTGGTCACTGGTTGCACATTGCAATTGCCTTTGACTTGTTTATTGTTATATCCAATTACCAAATCTGTGTCGTACTGTGTGCCTCATTTTGCAATTTGGTAAGCGGGAAAGTGGTTGAGTTTTTTTTTTATGTAGTATAGTTATTTTTGGTGGGGCGCAAACGGAGCGTGTAATTTGTCAAGTTTATTTGGTTGAGCGACGTTCTGTTTTTTTTTTCCATTTTCATTTTTTAAGTCTCTCTCTCTAGCTTTTGGGCACGCCCACTTTGGTTCACTAATTAGCTGCCCAGCTGCTGCTGCTGCCCCGTTTGTTTGTTGTTTACTTGCTTTTGTATTGTTGCTAATTATGCGCGCTTTGTCTCTGACACTTTTTGGCAAACAAAAATAAAAGCAAAATAAAAGCAACAACAAAAAAGTGTTGGCTACTTTAAACATGCTCAAATATTAATGATAGTGCACGCACAGGAAAAAGCTGCTGCTGCTGTTGCGGCTACTGTTGACACGGATAACAAGGAGTGTTGCCATGAGAACAGACAGATAAGCGACAGAGAAACGACCAGAGAATTTACGATTAATGTTTGTTAAACAAAAGTTGAAGAACTAGCAGAATGTGGCTCAGGCTGTGCTGAGGCTTAGTGCGGCTTTTCAGTGGGCTAGTTTTACATTTTAGCTAAATTGAAAAAGTTTTGTGCATATTTCAAAATTATTTATAGGTGTTATATAGATAAAACTTGTCTTGTCGGCTTGCCTGAGCGATATAAATTAAAAAGTAAATAGAATGAATTTCAATTAAATAATGGTAAATAAAATTTTAAACAAATTCGAAGCATCTTTTGATTTAAAATGTTTATGGGGGCAATTATTTATGGAAAATCTCTGTACCAAACTTATTAGTCAGGTGCTTTTTATAAATCTGCATTTATATGAGCATGCACATCAAAGACTCTCATCAATTTGAACATAACACTTCGTTGAATAACAACTTTTGTTGATTTAATATTTAATGTATCAGTTTTTACTGACATCTAATTGGCTCAAACGATAAGCGGAAATCAATTTAAAAATCATGCCAATTATTTATAATAATAACACAATCCATCGAATTGCGCTTGGACGCGCTCTTCATTTGTGCAAAAAATGTATAGAGAAAATCAAATATATAAGCATATTAATTTTGTTGTTAAATATTAAATTGACTACCTTTTGCTGCTTCTGCTGCTGATTTTTTAATCAAGTGGGGGCGAAAAAAGGAAAACAAAAATGGAATAAGCTTATGCCAAACTGCATTAACAATTTAAAGGTGTGCACATTTAGTTTGCAGCTGCAAGCAAAACCGAAAAATTATTTTAAAAAAAAGGGAAAGGAAAGACTCGAAAAAGCGAGAAAAAGTTGGTGAAAAAGGCGGAAAATTCGGGCGCGTATTAATAAAAAATTAAACAAAACCAGGCTAACCAGGCTGGGTAGAGAAAAGGGAGAAAAGAGAGGGATGGAGAGAGAGTGAGGGAGACAGAGAGAGAGAGAGATAGAGAGAGCGAAGAAAAGGAGAGACAGGGATAAAATGCTTAGCAGGAAGCAAGAGAGAGCACAAAAATCTTGGCTCATAAAGTTGCAATTTGGGCAGCTGAAAAAAATTCTGAAATGGCGCATAAATTACAATGTCTGTGTGTGTGTGTGTGCGCGGGGGGGGGGGGGGGGTGTAGATGGCAGTTGCTAAAAGCCTTTTTATTTTTATGTGCCCGCGGCAAATGCTCAATCTCTAGCGCCGCTTTGCACTAAGCGCACATTAAAAATTAATCTTTTAATTACTGGGGCCCAACTACAACAACAATAGCTGCTGCAACAACGTCTATGTGTGTGTGTGTGTGTGTGCATGTGTGTGTATTTAGGCGCCTTTGTGCGCAGCAGCTATTAATTACTCGTACTTCCCAACGATATAGATCTTTGTATAATACACGCCCTCGCACGCAATGATTGCTGTTATAGCCCACAGCCACGCCCCGTATATACATATATATGCTGCAATTGCTTTTGTTAGCTGGCAGCCGGCAGCCATTTTGTGTGTGTGTAGCCTGTGCAATGGCAGCCATTTTGTATGGCATACGCCAGCATCAACTGGTTCAACAGGCGCCCCAAAAAGTATGCAACAACAAAAGCAAAACAATTTCGCGCTGGCATATAATAATAACAATAACAACAATAACAATAACAATAACAAAATGCAGCACAACTGAAAGTAGAAGCAGCAACATCAGCTTAAGAATAACAACAAAAAAACAAGAATAGTTGTAATAATAATAACAAGAAATTTTGCGTTTCTTTGAAACTTGGCCACGTGACTTCGCAGCCAAAGCCGCGAACTAAACCCAAAGCCAAAACTCAAAACTTGAGCTAAGCACATGAGCAGCTTACAGCCACGCCCCCTGAATACATATATACATGTATGTATATACATATGTACCATATTTCGCCCTAATCCCAAGCACAGTTTTACAACTGAAAACGCTTGAGGTTTTTGCTGCTGCTTTCAAATTTTGTCACAATTTCTGGCTTATTCGCACATTTACAGAATATCTCAACCGTTTTTAATTGCTTTCAATTGACCCTCAACCCAAAAAACTTTGCACATAAAGTTAAGCGCAACAATAGCTGTGCCACACATTTGATTTTAATTGAATTTTGACCGCTTACACTTTAAGCATTAACACTGCGACGGGGCAGTTGAGGGGCGTTTTTAATGCCAAAAGTTTTTGTGCGTTCCGCCCAACCTACCCCCTAAAAAATCCTGTCCCGTGTAGAAAACTTCGCTAATGGAATTAAAGAACATACTCAAAATTTCTCTAAACGGCTGTCTAGTTGAATGAATAGCTACCAAAAAAAATGCCCAAATGACAATTTGCGAGTTAAGCGAGAAAGTTAAGCAGGAGTTGCAGCTGGAAGTATTATAAAGCAAAAATAAAGTGTGCTCCATTGTGCATGTCAGAGAATATGCAGTTTATATGAAATATACTTCAGCTAGTAAAAGGCACTTAAAACAAAAACTTAAAACTACACAAAAGTATGCTTAGATTACTAACTGCATAAAAGAATCTTAGTTAGCTGATTTGCAGATGTATGTGGAATGTGTAAATATCGTATCAAGTACACATCTATTTCTATTGGGATTATTTGAGGTTTTTTTCTTGGTTGTCGACTATTCACCTGGCAAATTGTATATTTTAAGCTAGCAATGGCGCTGAGCTTCTGACCACTTCTGGCCTAAAACACACTTATTTAGTTTAAAATATTTAAATATCGTTTAAAATAAAATACCATTTTATTTATTTTAAAAAGAATTAAAGTTAACTGAAAATAACTCTCAGTTTAATAAACCCGCACCTCAAGCCAGCTAAACTAAGATTTATAAAATGAAAAGATCGTCAAACCTAGCATGAAATTGAAAATATTTATTCAGCAAGCTCGAGATTCGGGGTTTAATTTATTAAAATCAAAAATAAAAATATTTTTTTTTATATATTTCTCCGATATATTTGAAAATCGTTTCAAAATGTTCTAAAAGCATGTGAGATTATGTTTATCTATGCCAAAATGAATATCATATGCATATATATAAAATTCATAGCGGACATATTTTCTCTTGTCAATATTTGTATGCATATTAATTCAAATGAAATCACATAAATATCTAAATGCACTTTTGATGGGTCTTATGCAACATAATCCCTCAGACAGGGATATATGTATATATGGGAGCTCAACATGAGAATCATATCAAATTTTTGACATTTGTGCGCCGTTTCTGTTGATTTATATGCCTGGCATATAAAATAGACGTTCTATGAATACATATAGATATACTCTACTACGCTCGTAATTATGCATGAATCACGAAATCAACTGCAGCTTCTGCTGTTTCTGCTTCTGCAACGCGTCCGCCAGAGCTGGGCTTTACGTAGCCTGAATTTCGACCCGAAACGCATGAATGAACGCGCCAGGAACAAAAATATATGCACATAAATTTCATCAGCTCGGGCGCAATGAAAATGTGGAAATGTTAAAATGCTCGCACGTAATACACAAAAAAAACTCAAATAAACTAAAAAAAAAAGGTCATTTGTAATGCAAAACAAAAAGGAAAACAGCAACTGAAATAGAAACAAAACTAAAAACGTGGCCGGCCAAACACAAAAGTTCTGCGAAAATCTTTTTGCTTGATTTTTAATAACATTTTTACTTGAGTTTTTGTTTCGCGTGTTTTTATTTTATGGTATTTATTTACTTTGTGCACAGCGCACAAACAACCAACGCATTTTTAATCAAAATAAAACTTAACAACTGCCCCAGCGGCAAGAGGGGCTTGCCACAAGCAGTATGCAGCAAGCAGCAACAGCGAAAATGACAGCAAGGACAAGTGACAGGCGCGCTGCTAAGTATGCAGCACTTTTTGCTCTGTGTCTTTAACTTGCTCAACTGCAGTGAGAAACTGCGCGAAAGGGGAATATCTTACTTGGATAGGGTATAAAACTTAATGCTAGATTTGACTGCATTACCAGCTCTTCTTTGTCTCCACATTTGACTCAGGATCAGATGATATAGGTAGTTTTTTAGTAATTCAAGCAACAATTTTTCTAAAAACAACTTTCAATATACTCTATTCGTAAGTTTTAACTAATTCCAAACCCTCGGCTTGGCTTCTCTTAAAGTAAATATCGATCTGATCTGAGGATCAGCTTGTTGTTCCTGAAGAGAAACTTTCCAATTTACTAATGGATGTCAAACTTATTTTTACTACAATATTTCGCCCCAAGTTGGCTTTAAGTTTAACACAAGTTTTCTTTTTTCTTTTGTTTTTGTGTGTAAGCTCTCGTGTATTCATGAAATATTTATTTAGATGTGACGGAAATGTATGTGGCATGCCGCAACAAATTGCATGCAAAATGATGGCAGGCAACGGGGTCATGTTAAGAAATGTGACACCTTTATGATGGAAGGGTGGAAAGTGGTGAGGCAGGAAAGCTACGACGCGTTATGGCCAGGTGGAATTGCCAGGGCATTGTCAATGTCATAATTTGCCATAATGTGTGCGAGGCGGAGGCAGGAGAGGAAGAGGGTTGAGGGAGAGGAGTTAAAAGGGGCACCAGAGCAGCAGCAGCAGCAGAAGTTTTCCCGCCCCGCCCCGTTCCGCCACAATTTGAATATGGATGCTGATGATGTTGCATGTCCATGTCGAGATGTCGATGGCGATGTCGAGATGTCGATGTCAATGTCATTTGGCTTTTGCCAGCGGCCAAAAGGACTGAAAGCCACGCTGTATGTGTGTGCTTTATTGTATAGGTGTGTGTGTGTGTGTGTTCAACTTAGTTGCAAAGTTAACGATGCGCCATGACAACACTCCATCAACATGGACAGCATGCCCAGTTAGACAGCAGGCGGGCACAGGGCAGCCGGGCAAGCTTTTGCGGCGCCTTCTCTGCCCCCCACCCCCACGCTGTGCCCGCCTGCTGCCACGTGTCATGTCCTTGGCTGCGCATTGTCAACATTAACAGAGCCGTGAGGCACAAAAAGGCGCATATCCAATTGCAAAAAAAAAGCAAAGCACGAGTAACGGACGCATGTCGATAACAAAGCGTGTGTCGAGCCAAATGCAAACATTCAACTAACATTAGTGCCACGCCTCAAACATGCACACACACACACGAACACACACACATGCAGAGCTACACTCCCACACACGCTTACACGGGGTACTTGCTGCAGCTGCCACTTCGCAACGACTTTGGTGTCTATTTTACTTGGTCATTAAATTTGGATTTTGTGCTGTGCATATCACAAGTGCTTGACTTTGCTGTTAAATACACACACACACAGCTACACCTCGGCACACATGTAAACATACGCGTGTGTGTGCGTGTGTGCACAGGCAGCTCTTTAGTGGCCCCTTTGTGTGGCAAGCTCCGCTGCAGCAGCTCGCCTGCCTCTTCCACACTTTGTTGGCTGTGCTTTTTGCCTGCCACACACACTCACACACACCCGCACACAGTCTCACACACACATTTTGCTTTCACACACACTCGGCTTCCGCCGAACTGGAACCACTTTTGCCAGTGCTAAACAACGTTCACATGTCCGCTAGTTGTGCCGTCCAAGTATAAGTTTGTTTTGTTTTTTGTTTTACTTACGGTTTTGAGCCTTTTGTGGTTTTAGTGGTTTTCGCCTACGCTTCTTGCATGGCAATTGCCACAACAAAAAGGCTCTAGATTTTTAGGCTCTTTGTGTGCAGCAGCTGAAAATGGGGAATTGAGTTGCTGGGAAACTAAGCGCTGGCCACACCAGAAATCGATTAGATGCACTTTGCCATAAACGAAATGATTCTAAAGAGAAAAAGGATAACAAACAGCTTTTGAGGAAATTTACAACCAAAATAAAAAACTAAATATGAAACGACAACGAATATGCGTCATGCGATCTTTAAAAATATTTAGCATAAAAATCTGTTTTAAATTCCTAGGAATTCTCTTCGATATTCCACAAAAAAAAAAAAAAAAGATTTTTGAAAAAAATAAAATGTAAGAGATAACTTTATAGACAAACATAATATTAAAATATTTAAAGCACAAAGAAAAAATTATACAAACAAAAATTAATTACAGAAATTATAGCAAAAATGAAAATACAAAGAAAAGGTTTTATTAAAAAACTGACTTTAGTTTGATAAATAGAATTGTGAGAAAAAATGGTTGCCAAGTTTATTTTGTCTGCAGCTTACTCAGTAAATTATTTAATGCAAATAATTGCTATAATTAAATTAAAAACAGCATGAGCTCACACTATTATGTATATTATTATATTATAAATATTATATATATAAAAAATATTCGCCAGCACGTTTTCGACTGAGATAACACATATTTTCCCAAGAGAAAGTAAAAGAATACTAGAGTTAAGCAACTGAGTTTGAGAGACACGTTTCAATAGGAACACCGCATAGCGATCGGAGCGAATCATAGTCAGTAATGTTATGTCGAAGCCTTTGTTCTTGTCAATCATAAAAGCCATGAGTTTGTCTGGCAGTGAGCACAGTCTCAGAGTCAACGTTAACTTCTTGACATGTTCGCACTACGTTTCGGCTTCATCGCATGCCTCGTCCTGAGCGCAGCGAATACCTATGATCTCGACAAGGATATTGGCTTGAGCATTTTTCGGCTGCATCGTGTGGTACGAGCTGTAACGGATGTGTCAGGCGCTACTGATGCAACAACTGCAACAACACCTGAAGCGACGACAATAACAACGGATTCATTAACAACTATAACAACAGAATCTCCAACCACCCCAGCTGCAACAACAATAACAACAGAGACTCCAACAACACCAACAACAATAACAACAGAGACTCTAACTACACCCACCACAATAACAGATTCTCCAACTACACCAACAATAACAACTACACCAATCCCTACAACTCCAACAACAATAACAACAGAGACTCCAACAACACAAACAACAATAACAACACCAGCTCCAACAACAATAACAACAGAGACTCCATCATCAATAACAACAGAGACTCTAACTACACCCACCACAATAACAGATTCTCCAACTACACCAACAATAACAACTACACCAATCCTTACAACTCCAACAACAATTACAACAGAGACTCCAACAACACAAACAACAATAACAACACCAGCTCCAACAACACAAACAACAATAACAACACCAGCTCCAACAACAATAACAACAGAGACTCCATCATCAATAACAACAGAGACTCTAACTACACCAACAACTATAATAGACTCCCCAACTACACCAACAATAACAACTACACCAGCTCTTACAACTCCAACAACAATAACAACAGAGAATCCAACAACACAAACAACAATTACAACAGATTCTCCAACTACCCCAGCAATAACAACAATAACTACAACTCCAACAATAACAACTATAACTACACCTGATCTTACAACTTTAACAACAATAACAGAGACAGCAACAACACCAACGCAAGCAACAACACCAACGACAGCAACAACAGCTGTGGCAACGACACCTGCAACAACGGTATATATATATATACATATATGCTTGTCTCTTTCCGGCATTCAGGTTTCGCTAATTTTTATTCGTAACTCTTTCTTTTTTTATAGGTCACTAAAATATTATTTACACTGAGCTCAAATGGCGTCATAATTTTCCAACTTCTATTGAATTGCGAAAATATTAAATTGATTTTCGGCGCAACTCCAGTTAATGCCTGCTCTCTTTTACTGGCTTAATTTATTTTTGCCTAAGAAATATTTAATGACAATAAATATGAATGTTTATTATTTATTTTAATTTTTTTAATATTTTAAAGTTTTTGTAAATAATAAGAATATATAAGAAACAATAAATTTCTAAATTTATTTTATTTTTATTTTTTTTAAATAAAATGAATTTCAAATCAAAATTCAATTTCAATGTTTTTTAGATTTTAATTTTAAAAAAACTTTTTGTTATTTATTTTATAACAAATGGCAATATTTTTTATTTTTTTTTAAATATTTATTTGTTTAATGTTTGTGTCAAATTAATTAGTAAATTTTAATCATCTGCACTTTCACGTTCACGTATTAAACATATAGTTAGTTTTAGGAACTATATTTTATGGCTTGGGTACTTTAGAGTTTAGTATAGGGTAGTTTAAAGTCGTGCGCTTTAAGTTTATACTCTCGACATAAGTATAAACATACTGTAATACAAAGTGCGCTTTTTGTTTTTTGATGTGCTTGAGAGCTGATTACAGGGTATATGCTAGTCGAGCAGTTTCGACTAGAGTCTGCTTATATACAACTTTTAAAAATTCAGCTGAACTTTTTATATATTACTAAAATTATTTTTCTTCTTTCTCTCTCTCTTTTCAGGTAAGTTTCCCATTGGTTCACAAACTCTTGCCTATCTAAATATAGATTATTAATTTGTGCGTGAGTTTTAGATATAAGCAAATTATTAAGTATATCCCAGCCTTGGCCTTTTGTGATTGGCTTTGCCTAGTTAATCTCTTGAACTCAACACTCGGAGGCTGTCAGAGCGTCCAATCAATTGGTTTTTGCTCTTTATCAACAAACAAGCTGCCAGGCTTAAGCCATCAAAGACACATCAAAAATATAAGTACAAACAGCAACAGCAAATCCAACGCTGACCCAATAAATCACTAGAAAATTTCACACAAACAACACTCGAGTATAATCTTTGGCCTCCAGGGGCCAAAACAACAAACAAACAACAACAAACAAAAAAAAAATGAAAGAGGAAAAGCTCTGAAATAAGGACCCTAAAACTTGCTGCGTAATTCCCACGATAATAATCATAATAAAAATCAAGCGAGCGATAAAGCATAAAAGCAAATTACAAGTAAAATCTACACATACTTCCTGAACGAGAGGGGGCAACTCTGCAGCACTTCATGTGATGCCAGATTGTTCGAAGTGTAGTTGTTGCTGTTGTTGTTGTTGTTCTTCTTCTTCTTGTTGCTGTTGCTCGGCCCCACATAAAATAAAAGTTCTTTGCCGTCGAGCATATTCTATGAGCCAGAAACTTGCACATTGTCAAAAATATGTTTCAGCCTGGCCAGCGTTGCCAGATATTCAGGACGTGTGCTTGCCTCTTTCTCCTTCATTTTTTTTCCGGCTCGCTCACGTAGCGGCCATTTTTTTGTGCTCTTCTTTTCGGCAGTTTGGCTGCAAAACTTTTCTCATAAACCGCGTACAAATATAGCACGTATTAGGGTTAAACTCAATGCTTGCCGCGCTCAACGCTAGAGGGCGCCACTTGGCGTCCTCAACGCGCAAAAATGATTTATGCTGATGAATTACTTGAAAATGTCATTACATTGGCGCAACGCCACCCATGAAATGGGCGGAAAATTCATTAAGTTGTCAAATGCAAGTCAACACAATACAATTTTATTTTTATCACAATTTATTTTCACTTTTTTATTTGACATAGACATGACATTTCCACAGCACAAGAGATGGCCAAATGGGCGGCTGTAAGTGAGGTGCCGAGAGCTATTTGACGCCATTGGCGCATGAAAATTTATTGAAAATGTTGAAAAGAGAAATATCTGACAAAAAAAAACACGCTTTATAAAATTGGACTTCGCCAAAGGCAGAGGCAGCGGCACAATTGAAATGTCAAAATGAACACCAAATTCTGACTGATTGGCATTAAATAGATTTGAGGGATGCTTAGCCTTGGCTAGCAGGCATGCCATGATATCGGGGCTTATAAAGATTTACATATTCGGCTTTAGTTTATTTCTTAAAGCTGCTTGGGAAATGCTTTTAGTTGGCTTAAGGGATTTCTTTCATTGGCAATTAATTTATATTTTCTTTTCTAGTTGTAAGCATTGAACATATTGTATAACATTTTTCAGATATTTCCTGCTATGCATATATATCAATATCCATAATATATTCTACCATATAATCGGTATTGCTCAAATTCATGAATTCTTCAAACCGATCGTAAATTTGAATTAGTTTTCTTTTCTTTTAATTTGATTTAGTTTTCTTTTCTAATTGCATTCGGGCGGCCTTTCAGTTGCTTTTCATTTATTTTACAATTCTCTCTTTGCAATATTCTTCTATTTTTTCTGCATGTTCTATGGGAAAACTGCGCTTTTCCGGAAATGAAATTGCAGTTGCACTGGCTGCCATTGTATTTCCTATGCGAAATATGCAATCATAATGAAAAATTTTGCGCTTTGCTAAACATTTCGGTTATCAGTCGGCGCCCACTTTCAATAATATTCATCAGCAGATTTTCCGACCACCCGCAGCTGGTTTATCCTCCCATTAATCAAGCTGGCCGAATTTTCTAACTAGTACAACAGGCCAGACACATTGTTGAACTCGCATATAACTTAATACCCTGTAAATTGTTTTGATATAAATGGTTTTAAATGTTGAAGCATAAAATATCTTAACCATAGATTGTCACTCATATTAATATACTATAGTTATTTTAATTATAATTATAATTGTTTTCTTTTCTAACGTGTAACTTAAAAACAACATTCCCTCTTCTCATTTAAAATCATAGGGTATTTGTCCGTGTATATTGGCTGGCCTGCAACATTTGTTTCAATCAGTTTGCAGCTGCAGCTCGCATGCGACTCATTGTGCCATTGTGTCCATACTGGGCGCATAATTAAAACCGCAAATAGTGCAAGCGCACACCCACACACACACACACATTCACGTATGCACACCCACATGTGATATGTGATATGCATCACTCACACGACTTGGCTCTAATGGTCACCACGGCCAACTAATAACAAGCGCTAAAGTCAGTCAACAAATGAGCTGAGCCTAGTTGTGGTTAAAGGGGGTGTGTGTGGGGGGAAGCTTATTCATTGTTAGCTGACATGTGAGCCGGTTCGGTTAGTCGGGCTTAAACAATGCACCTTGTCTGGCTCATGCCGTCCATTCATCCGGCAGTAAAATGTACGAATTTTAATTATGCGCCTGGCAGTTAATTATCCGGGCCGAAATGTAAATGCAGCTGGCTAAAATGCTCAAATGCTGTGAATCAACCACATTGCGTATACGCCGTGTTAAACCATTTATTAGCGCTGCTCATTTATTTCATTTGATTGCCATTTTGTATGCGAACCAACCGCCTGGCCGCGCCCCGTTGATTTTTCGCGCTTTAATTATCCAAATTAAAATTTGTCGCACGCCAATTGCTTGGGCCCATTGATTAAGTTGCGATTTTAAGCCCATTTATTGTGTGCCTTTCAGCTGATTTGGTTAATTTGGCCAACCGAACAGATAGCCGGCCAGCTGGTCATCTGCCGCTCTTTGGTAGATTTGGTAACAGGCTTTGCGGTAAGCGGGTGTTACTCGCGGCATATTAAATGTATTTAATTGTACTATTTGTTGTTGACAGTGGGCTTAGCGAGCATAAATTATGCTCCTGATGTTGAATTTAATCTTCCATGCGGCACATTTATAATATTTATATTCATATTTAAGGAAGGGAAAAAACAGATTACGATCTATGACTTCTGAAGTGTCGGAGGGATAAGTATTAGGATCTTCCGTAAAGGAGACCAATATTAAATAATTTCTGTATATACAAGAGCTTGTCCTGACTAAAAAAAAAAAATAAAAATTTATATTTTACTGAAGCTTCCTTTTGACTGGAAAGTTAGCGGAATTTTAGAAAATTCGAGCTTCAAATGGGTGAAAACGCCTGCGTGGCTGAGCATCGGACCAGCACGTGGGAAGTCACATTAGGCTGTTATTTTCTTTTTTTCGATCAGTTGTTTAATTTATTATAATGCACGCAGCAAAAAATAACAAATTATGAGAGAAGAAAAGTAAGGAAATGGAAACTGAATTGAGGTTAAAAATTATAATTCAAATGTTACGGCGAATGCCTAAAGGAACGAGAGGCAATTTTATTATTAGACCCAGCCACTTGCTGGGCATTTCTTCTTGTATAATATATTTTAAATAAATATCAACTTTGCCTTTTACACACAGACAAAAAATAGGCAAAGCCAAGCTGAATTTCGTTCATTTATAAGAGGCATATCTTAACCCTTGTCATTATCTGTTGGCCATTGCACAAAAACTATGCCCCAAGGTAACCAAAGTGTGCTTATCAAGAGCTATGACACTCGCCCCGGCGACCTAAAACATTTTTCACCTACTTAAGTACGCTGTCGACCCACAACATAAACCGCAAAAGCTGCCCTCAGTCAAAGCTTTATACCAAACTGAATTTCTACGGTCAATCAACGGCAAGTGTCAGAAAGAGCAAAAGTCCCAACGCTCCAACTAATGCCTAATGCTTGGCTAAGCCTTTTCAAAGGGAGAACGTGGAGAAAAATTAATGTCTGCTAATAATTCAAGTGTCGAGGCTTTTGGCCAGAAGTGTGCGTAAATATTCTAACGCACAATTAAATGGAATGCGCCATAAATATTGCGCATACGACACGTAAATCAGTAGCTTTCGGGGTGGCCAACCAACCCTCAACGACTGATTATTCAAACAATTAATCTCTGAAATGTTTATTACCAAAGCCAAAGACAAGACGCACGCATTAGTTAGCACTCCCTCGGGTATAGCTGGCAATAAAATGGTTCTTTGTCTTTGTACGTGCAGTTGGAAATCAATTGGTAAGTGACTTTTGGCTTTGGCTAAAACTTGGAAGAGTCAACTGCAAGAGCAGCAGCAGCAGCAGCAACCGGATGCACGCCATTTTGCA